GTAAAACTTTAACGAATTTTTGAGTAACAAACTCATTGATTTAAAAGCGAGCAATGGCAACACTTTACGATGGGGGGAAAAAAGCTTTTTATCTTCAGCGCGTCGAACTGTGCATCGGAAATTCTTAAGATATGCTCATTTTAAAATTACTTTGCGGCATTGCTATTGAACTAAATTTTACGGTTTAATTGCAAAGAACACGATATTTAGTAAATAAAGGTAACGCACAAAACGTTAAAAAAAGCCCATTTTGACGTAAAATAGAATCTGAAACATTTCAGATTTTTTTTACATTTACAATTTTTTTATTTTTTATATATTAAAGATTCAAATCACACAAAATTTTTAACTATTAATTGAAAACGAAAATGGAAAAATGTCAATTCTCCTATTTTGAACTGAATGGCATCAAATTTTATCCAGATAATCGAATTTTTATATTTAATAATCAGTGCTTCGAATAAGCTATCTATTCGTGAAACATAAGGTTATTTATTTCAATTAAAGACAATTTTTTTCAAGCATTAAATTAATCTATTTCGACATCGAATATTTTTCGACAAAGTGAACAAAACGTTCTTATAACCGTAACTGTTAATTCTTTCACAATGTAAAATTCGCAGTTATAGAATTTCTAAATATTTGAAAGTATAATTCATTTGCCTTTTAATTCCATGCTTACCAGAATACAACTAAAATATGAATTCTTTCTTTTTTTTTTTTTTTTTTTTTTTTGTCTAGATTCAGAAACTAAACAAAAAAATTAAAGTCTTTAATGGAACACAGAAGTGCGTATGGTAAATAAGAGTGGGAATAGTGCTTACAATAAATCATAGAAGTTCAAGATTCAATTACCAGTATCGAATGATTAAAAAATAATTGTGTAGGACATTAGTACCGTGTTTTCAATAATGTTTCGCAATAACTGTTAACATTTTTTAAAGAGAAAATTTTCCTACAAGTTTTAATAAGTTCCTTTGAATAATAGAGGATCTTCTACAATACCAAAAGTAAAGAAACTTAGCTCAGGATTTTTTTTTTATTGGCCCCATTTGTTTCAATACAATTTCGTTTGCTTATAAATGATTTATGTGCGTTTTATCTTTTATTGAGTAATACGGTCAAGTACAAAATAAAAGTTTGTATGATAATTGATTTGTTATAATTTAAAAATTAGCTATTACATTTATTTTTAATGCAAAATGAGACAAATGAAGCTTCGGAATTACGATGGATTTCATTTCTTTCAGTAGGATTTTGCTTTCTTAAATTTATCTTGAATTTGCTTGTTGTGTATTTTACGATTTGACTACATTAGAAACTCAAGAAGAAATAAAATTACGTGTATGAGTATATGTACTAATTTTTAATACTTAGGAATTAGAAATTACGTCCAGTTTCTCAGAAGACAATGGGCCCACTAAACTGGATCTCAGTCACATGCGACGATTGGTAGAGTTGGATTTGTCTTTTAACGGCCTTACTGAAGTAGGAAACGACTGGTTTGATCGAGGACCGGCTTCACTCACTACTTTGATGCTCTCTAACAATGCTATTGAAAAACTTGGAGACAGAGCTTTTGCCAATTTACCAAACCTTAAGGTTCTCCACTTGCACGGAGCTCGCTTTGGTCCCGTTAAGCGATCCATGTTCCCGTCTTCAGCCCAACAACTCACCGACATCGAACTTGAGTAAGTTTTACTTTTAACTATAAGATATTTCCTCCCTCCTTCAAGCACGCCTTCGTGGTATAACGGTAGCACACTCGGCGCGTATTCGAGAAGTCTAGGTTGGAGTTCCGGAGAGGGCATGACACATTTTTCGCGTGTTTTGCTTCAAAATAACCTATTGACTCTATAGAAGAATACTTATTGGTAGTCAGTGCCGAAGTTGGTGCATCAATTGACTTAATTTACTGTTCTACTAAGAGTTTCAACTGTAGCTAAACGGCGGCCTCGTTAAGCTTAGCGCCACTTTTAAATTACTGATTATTCTACAACTATTGCATGCAGACCTAAAAACATTTATATATGTTTTAGCACAGCCAATTGCAACCAAAATGATAATTGCACATCTACATGTTATAGCAGCCTCGTATATACAATTTCAACGTTCTGCAGCTAATCGTTTTTGAATTATGGGAAGAACATACACGCACACTCTACAGACATCACAAAAAAATGCATTTTGAAAAAAAAAAAAAAAAAAGGATTTCTGTACTCTGGGCGTAGGTACAGATATCACGCAAAAACATCTTTCAAATGGATTCAAGAGAGGTCAAAATGGATATTTTTGTTGAAATGTGATACCCGAAATTTTTCGCGATTACATGCTTCCTTTACTTCGTACAAGGAAGTAAAAACGTGACATATTTCTTCTTTTTAACTACAAACTGATGATATGAATTTTGTTGTAACACTGATATAGAGAATACCCTGTTTTTAAGAGAAAACTATGCCGGAAAAGTAAAAATACAGGAGCACATGCGTTTAACTTTGAGTAAATGGATATCTCGGTAATTTGTATTGAAACTGAATAAATGTAATGGACCACTAAGTTGGCTATAACCGTATTTCCATCTTTTTATTGCTTTCCAGAAATCTCGAGAAGCAGAAAGTACTAGAAATTTTCACGACGGGAAAACTATAAAACTCCAGGAGAGAGATCTCAACTAATGTTAGACTGTTTGCGAGTTGTTCAATTTCGAATAGAAGAATAGAAATTTCGACGACTAGAAAATCTTATTAGTCCAAAAGGATTTGAACCGAAGGACTATATTTCGTTTTGGCATTTGTGTCGGACTCCTATAAAAGTCGGTTCACTTTTCAAATGTTGCCACAAATGTTAGCGCCTGCATTATATTTGAAGAAATTAAAAATGAAAAATCTGTAAATGTATGTATATTTCTCTCATTGTAAAACAACGGTATCTAGAGCCGTTTTCAATGACGTACCTGCTGCGAATATGGGCATCTGAAATCCCAAATTTGAAATTTGGAATCTTTTTATCGATTTCATATTTTGTAAAACTTTTGTAATGAATTTGATTAGACATCACGATTTAAAAGCGGCAATGGCAAACTTTCGGGGGGGGGAACCTTTTTATCTTCAGCGCGTCGAACTGTGTATCGGAAATTAAAGATATGCTCATTTTAAATTATTTGCGACATTGCTATTGACTAAATTTTTGGTTTAAGTGCAAAGAACATGATATTTAATTATAAAGGTAACACACAAAACATTAAAAAACGCCCTTTGGACGTAATTAAAATCTGAAACTTTTTTTTTTTTTTTGTTTATGTGTTATTTTCTATTTTTTGTTCAAGAAAGTATTGTTGCTTTCGTACGGGTTCGTAAAAAATTGAATGTACAAGTCCGATGATAGGTTAATAAAATTTATTCTGATTAAATGATCAACAGAACTATATCAGAACTCTGGAATTTTCCCCAGATATTTTCGTACAAGTGTTCACTATATCACGCAATATAATTCAATAGTTATACTTTAAACTACTAAACATGTTAAACTACAACGTAATACAAACCGCGTTTAAAGAGAACGCGAATCTCAATTCTCGCATAATTGAACAACTCACAATAACAGTAACTAAGCAAATTGAGTTGAGATGCTGTCTCTCTCTGGCCTTTTTATAGTCTTTAACCGGTCGTGAGAAATTTCTAGTACTTTCTGCTTCTCGAGATTTCTGGAAAGCAATAAGAGGATGGAATTACGGTTATAGCCAACTTAGTGGTCAATTACATTTATTCAGTTTCAATACAAATTACCGAGATATCCATTTACTCAACGTTAAACGCATGTGCTCCCGTATTTTTACTTTTCCTGCATAGTTTTCTCTTAAAAATATGGTATTCTCTATATCAATGTTACAACAAAATTCATATCATCAGTTTGTAGTTAAAAAGAAGAAATTTGTCACGTTTTTACTTCCTTGTACGAAGTAAAAAAAGCATGTAATCGCGAAAAAATGTCGGGTATCATATTTCAACAAAAATATCCATTTTGACCTCTCTTGAAACCATTTGAAAAATGCTTTTGCGTGATATTTGTACCTACGCCCAGAGTACAAATATTTTTTTTTCTTTTTTACAAAATGCATTTTTTCGTGATGTCTGTAGAGTGTGCGGGTATGTTCTACCCATAACTCAAAAACGATTAGCTGCAGAACGTTGAGATTGTATATACGAGACTGCTATAACATGTAGATGTACAATTCCCATTTTCGTTGCAATTGGCTGTGCTAAAACATATATAAATGTTTTTAGGTCTTTAGTTAAACTGCATGCAATAGTTGTAGAATAATCGGTAATTTAAAAGTGGCGCTAAGCCTAACGAGGCCGCCGTTTACAGTTGAAACACTTAGTAGAACAGTAAATTAAGTCAATTGATGCACCAACTTCAGTGTGCTGTTGGGCAATGGGACCTACAACTTTGTTCACGGAAAATTTTGTCTTCCTGCCCGCTGGTCGAATTGCTTGTTTCTGAGTAGAAACTCTGTTTTAGTGTTTTAGACTTTTCTGTGTTTTACAACTGTTAATGAAGGGGTTTAGGAATTTTTGCTTTGAAGTGAGACTTGAATTCATGAAATGAGGATTATATCTCTAATGAAATTCTTAAAAATAAGTTTACATGAAGTGCGGCAAAAAATAGTTTAATAGGCCGTACATGTCATGGTCGTTAAGTCATGTGTGTCCACGTCAGATATATTCAGTGCAGTGTTTAATATTATAAATTTTTATAAACAAGAATCACGTCTCTATTAAGCCATGGCTGAAGTATGATTATGGATCTGAATCACATGTATAAGATCTTGCTTGTTGATTCTGTTTTTATGTAATCGAAGTTATGTGAACTACATATCATATGAAATAAAATGCATTGTATAATTTATTGAAACCTAGTTAACAACGAATTTAATCCACGATGAGAAATCAGCTTGATGGCAACGTATAGTAAATAACACGCAACTGCTGCATGCTTAAAACTATTTGAAAAATACATCAAACCATAAACTTAGGAAGAACTAATGTTGAAATTGTTGAGATCTCAGATACCGTTTAAAAAAAAAAAAAAGTTAGTTTCATTACTTTTGAAATACCTAATATTCTCTATTTTTACAATGTTATATGAACTGAAGTCCATGCTTAGAAAATAATGCAAAAGTGTTACACAAAAAACCCACGGTACGATTGGATAACCGATGGGTTAATTACTCATACAACTGGCCGTTTAATCTGTCAGGACTTGTATGTCTTTTAACTTGCTTTGGAAATATAACGTATCCTGAATAGAAACAGAGAACTTACTAAAGGTATTGTTACGTTATTTTCTTTTCCTTGACGTTCGTACGGGGTTCTTAGATTTGGAGTGAATAACGACGACACTTGAGAAGTATCGAAACACACTTTTAGCCAGTATTGTCAGACAGCTCGAAAAAACGTTTTCAGTCGTCGATGAATACTTAAACAAGCTGACACGATCAGCGACACAGCCTCCAGGTTATCAGCTATCGGTGGAGACAGCTTCCTGCAGAGCACCCGCTGCTCCGGAGTACAGCCCGGCTCTGCTTGGTCGTTCGGAATCCACGTACTCTCGAGACTCTCCACTACAACTCGCGATGCACTCGACGACACACGAGCACAGCTCCGACTCTCCGGTCAGTCGTTCCGGAGTCAAACCGCTCTCTCGACGATGACAATAACCGCGATACAATACAGGACTCCTTCGGTTTACTCGACGACCCACTCGGCACTCGCTGCCTGGCTGTCAACGATCGACTCGCAGGGATCACGCCTCGGGATGATAACGGAACCAGCAGTGCTTTTGGCCGAGAACATTAGGAAAGAATTCGGAGATCAGGTCCATGACATCCGAATGACGCCTAACCTATTTTACTAAAACACTTCGACGAGGCCACACAACCAACTGATTGACTACGGAACACAGCAGTTTTTATATAGCTTTTGGTCTGGTGTTCGAGAACTTCTGGGCTACACGGACTTGCCCTCTTTCTCAGTCGTGACAGAAAAGCCGCAACGCAAAACTGGGCATTTCTGCAAGTGCAATTCGCATAAACAAGTTAAACACAACTTAATTCTCCTCGATGTGGAAAATAAGAAGTTAGTAATTTTAAATAAAATAAACGTTAGTAAAAACTGTGAGGTCATTAGGATTTTTCTTCATCCAGCTATGATTAAATTACAACCGCCTTCGCCGGGGTCGCCCCCGGACTTGGCCTCCGGGCCCCGGGCCTTCCGGCCACCACCCCTTGACTCTAAGAATGTGGGAGAGGCTCCTTTCCCTTCTCTCTCCCTTTGCCCCCCAGCACCAAATACTGGGTTAGCCATCATCATCACACCCCTTCCTCGGCCCATGTTCAGACGTTAGGTTTTCACATCCCCTTTTTTTTTTTTTTTTTTTTTGGAAGCCAGGAGATGACAAATTGCCAAACCGCTTCGTCGAAAATGAACCACGGACCTCTGGAAACCGGCCCAGCGTGCAGAACCACTACACCACGAAGGACGTAGGAAAGAGAGAGAAATACCTTATAAACTTAGGATCCTTAAAAATCAAATAACATTTTATCGCTCGGTTAAAATCTTCATTGATTAATCCAAGAGTGATCGATATGAAAAGAATACGTAATTTGTTTAACGCCTCAAGAAAATGTTTCTCGAATCTTATGTGAGATAGGTTGTATATGGAAAAACTGCTGACATTTCAAACACAGTCTTCAAGCTCAGTTATTATCGTAAAAGACAGCAAAAATCTTTGAATACGAATGAAGCAATATAACAGCAGAATATAAGAAAACAATTCGGAAGAATTCTTAATTTAGTGCAAAACCATTACCAATACACGAAAACATAAATTAAAAAATTAAACAATATTTTTTCCAGAAATTAATTAGGACTATTCTTAAATGATTACGAGTAGTAATAATCTTCAGCCACCCAACCAGGACATTGGTTAGATACGGTGTCTGCCGTACCGAAGGTCCCGAGTTCGTATCCCGGAGAAGGTACGGATGCTGGTAAGTGTATAGTTTCTGTTCGGCATGGGGAGCACCCTAAATATGCAGCGAACCGAAGCCCTCACAAGAGGTTAATGGTAGACGAAGAGGGGTGGGAGACCTTCGGACCTGTCCCCCCCCGGGGGTGCTCTCCATCAAAATTGGGGGAGGAGCTGAGCAAAGTCATAGTGTCACACGTTTGGTGCTCAAGGCTCTTGCCAATGACAGACGTAATCTTGCACTTCTCGCCACCAACGAAGAATTCCGTCGGCTTGTTCTGATGTACTGTCAAACAAGTGAGATAAGTCACAACATAATCTTATATTTAGAATGCAGAATTATAAGCAGAATTATCTCAGATTATGAAAGGGCAACTGCAAATGTCTCCTTTCTTTACGTTGCATGTTGAAAATTTTGGTTATGGATACAGTACATGTACGCTATTTGAAAGTCTTGCTTATAGGCCAATAAGTGAGCATTTTCCAGCTTGTCCGTTTTCAGGATCTGCAATGATGAAGCGACAGCAAATTATACCTAAGTTCAAATTCTAACGTAATGTATTATACAACAGAAACAAGTTGAAAGCTAATTATAGTATTTAGGAACGCCATTATTCGTGTCTCTAGATACGATAGACAAGAAAGATATCGGGAAGAGTCTCCGAAAGTAAAATATTTGAAATTCCAAAAAACGAATTTCTTTTAATGTCAATAAAATTTATTCTTATCAAAAGAAATATAATGGAACGCTGGACATTTTCCTCCGAGATATTCGCACAAGTACACAATAATCAGTAGTAATACTTTTAAGTACCAAAAACGTTAACTAGAACGCAAAGAGCAACACACAGAAAACTAATCCAATCAACAACAACTCAGCTGAGATGTCTCTCTCCGGCATTTTAAAGCTCTCAATCGGTCGCGAGAGAATTCTAGTAATTTCTTTGCTCCTCGAGCTTTCTGGAAACCAACAAGACGAGGCAATTACGGTTAGAGCTAATACAGTAGTTAATTACATTTATTCACTTTCAATACAAATTAAAAAGGTATTCATTGATTCAATGTTAAATGCATGTGCTCCTATATTTTTACTTTTTCTACATAGCTTTCTCTTAAAACTCGTCTCGCGCTACATTGCAAGGGGAAATAAAATTATTTAATTATAATTCTACTAACATTAGCTATCTATATATAAAATTTCGTAACAGTATGTTAAACGCTTGAAAAATTCGTATCTAACTCTAAAACCTTTATTAATTTTTTTAACTAAACCAGACAACGAATGTTCACTAGTTTTAATTGACCAATCATTGGAAGTCACAAAGAGTGTTTACACATTTTTAAAACGATTTCTCAGCCGTTTAATTAATGTTTAAAATGTAAAGAATATTTTTTTTAAAGTTCGATCTTTTTTTTTTTTTTTTTCTCCTATTAAGTCTGCATCGTGATTTCTGCATTTCTGCGATAAAAGGACTAATATTATTTCCAATCCCATTCCACTACACTTCAGACTCCATCAATCGTGGTGGGTTTACTCTTAGAAAGAACTCTGTTAGAAACATCAACAGCACAATAATCTATAGTAGAAATGTCACAGAACTTTGCAGGATTACGTTGGAAAGATATATATATATATAGGCAATATTTGTATCAGTTTTCATTTTTCTAAGGAATGCAGTGGTACTTTTCGAAGTAAGACTTGTTGCTTTGTCTTGTTGAAGTCTTTGAAAGTAATTGGAATAAAGAAATGGAATTTTTTCTATAAATATTGGCAACAAATATCGGTAAATCAACTCAACGTACTAGAATTGATTTTAGCATTTTTTTTTTTTTTTTTTTACCACTCTTCTTATTTTTAATTTCTTATTATAAGAAAACCGTGCAGCAATCATAGACTTCTACCTGAAATTTTCTTTGCCATTGACGGAACCAGCTCTGTACATTTTTTACTCTTCGTTTTTGATGATAAATAGACCTTTTTTTTTTTTCAGTGATTTAGGTAAATTTACGCTTCATAAAGAATCAAAATGTATTTTCATTCATCTCCAGCTAAATAATTTTTATACAGAGTTGCACAAATTGTTCTACGTTGAGACACATGCCTCACCAAAGCTGGTGAACATTATAGTATTGAGCTTTTCTAAATTGTATAGTCTAAAGAATAATTTGTAATGTTAATTCTTGGCTTTTATTCCTAGCAACAATGATCTTACAAGTATCCCAGATGATTTCTTCTCCAATATGCCTGCTTTGCGTTACATTTCCCTGCGAACAAATGGTATAACTCGTCTACCACAAAGTACTTGGGAACCTGTATGGCAACGTATGGACACCATCCGTCTTGAAGGTAAGATCTAATGCTCACATGAATTTTAGTCGTATGTTCTGCTCAATATTTTACTCATATTAAGATAAGGAGATGTCAGAAACATAAAAATAACTCAATGTAAACAGTTGACTCTTAAAGAATGTTAATCTGAGTTTTGTGGCTCTACTTATACACTTATTTCCCAACCAAAAAAAAAAAAAAAAGGCGCACGGGAAAACTTTTTGGAGCTTCATGAGAGTTTGACTCTTACTCGTAAGGTCCCAATCACATTATATTTCGGCTACGCGGGACTTGACGTCGAAAGGGAGAATTCTCAGAACCCGCACAATTCCGGGAAACACACGTAGCTAGATTACCATTTTCACTTACTACAAAGACTTGAACGCCAAACAGTAATCGATTATCGCTCAAATTGGGATCACGTTATCCTTCAGAAGCAGAACTTTCGTCTGATTGGTTTTCTGTACCTGAGACATTTTCGATGAGGTTTGAAAAAATCCCTCGTAGCCGCAACATTATTTCTGTAACTAGGTGAGACTTTCCTTCCAGCGGGGCTCTTTTTTCTAGGAATCCTCCCATTTTAAACCAGTGCTACCAGAATCTCGTTTCTCAGAGAAGTCTCGTCTAGCAGGGACTGTAGCCATGTGTGATAACCTCTTAATACGTAACTAAACAACACTGAAAAGAAATCCAGAAAAGGTTAGATACGTCACAGATGTGTAAAATATATGTGTGAGATACTAAAACATTTATTGCACTAAAATGCATGCAAATTTATTACAAAAAAGTTCTAATTCTGATATACTATATTAGAAGAATATGTAAAATCTATAATGTTGTATGTCATAATGAGAGACTATTGATATAGAAAATGGCAGACCTATAATTCACCTTGCTAATAGACTTGCAAGCTATATTTTAATTTTATAACTGTTATTTTAATTTAATGCATATTTCCTATCTTATCTAGTGTCAGCTTACAACTCCCTACCAGAATGAGTTTTTGGAATCGCGTTAAATGCAAATGAGAAGGAGAATAGTATTCAAGTCAAGTTCAACTGACTTACACAGAGAGAGTTAGGATTCCTGAGTAGCACGCGTTAGCCTTTGGGCTAAGTCTCTCTCTAAGCTGTTGTTACACTCGGCCGTATTACATGCCCTTTGATAGTTCGTTGGCTAATTTAATATTGCGTGCCAATACTTTAGAATTGTGTTAGCTTCGGCTAAATCTCTTTAGTTAGTCATTATTTAGTTCTTATTTCTTACATTTTAAGCCCAGGTGAAGGCTTTGCTGTACGCCCAAAGAAAGAGGCCAACTGTTAATCTTATTTTGAGTGAATAAAAGGTAATTAACTCTTTAAATTTACGCTTTCTGTTCTTTGAACCAAGCGGTTATTCGCTTAGCAGCTCACTAGGTTCTTTGACACAGCTTAACAGAATAAAAGTGAGGAACTCTATAGATTGGTTGAGAAATCAGACTGCTCAAATAGTTCACCGATTAGAGGAAGCATGCGGGAGCTGTCTCCCTCGGAGAGCCATCTTTCGTGGAGAGTTTGCTAAGGAAAACAGGCTCATGTTCATATTATACGTGATAAAAGGTACGAATAACTTTATGAAATGCAGTCCTTGCGCAGAAACGAATTACTATCGGTCAGGATCAGCCAAAAACATGCCATAACCTTACGTGTCATTAAATACGAAAATGGAGTCCAGAAATTAAATATTAGAATATTGATTAAAAAAACAACATGGACATAAACAAAACAGGTATGCGCGTACGGAAACTATCTGGTGGGAAAAAATTTTCGTACCAGTATTTTTAACAAGGAGATGCGTTAGGTATAAAATAATCTATTTCACATCAAGGCAATACCTCTGCTTTCCGAACTTAGGAAGGAAAGCCAAAGTGTCAAGTTTCTAAAAAGGGCAGGTTTTTAAAGATAACATCATATTAGTGACGCCAGGTGATGGGAGGTAACAGAGCGTTTGATAAGGTACCAGCGACAGACGAAACTACTTAAATGTCAATCATTCTGTTATTTTCCGCCTATGTAACTGGCATAACAGGTGAAGAAATCGTGTCTCGAATAGCAGTAAATGGACTTGAAGTTGCACAACCGCCACAGCCTCAGCAAGGATGTTCAGAGCACGGGGACAAATGAAGATTTTGCTCCCCTTTCTGTGTGCCAAGAATGGAAAACATTTCCTTCTAAAATTTCGTAACAGGAATTTGGCCCTCCCTGGATGCTGCGCCCGGAGAAGGGAGGGGGCAAAAGCCCCACCACAGCTATGCCGATGGCAACCGCTCAAGATGGCCACCTCCTATGTCTACAAGCAAGACGCCACATGTCAGTCGCAACATATCAAGTTCTTTCCGTATATTGTATCTGCAACTTGTATCTGCAAGCACGACGCCACCAGTCTATCGTCGCACATCAGCTAGTTTCCGACCTTGCAATGTTCAACAGGTTTCCTATGGTTTATATGATTGTGGCAAAGCACGCGAGGGCGAATTCGCTACAATTAACAGCAAGAACTAAATAAACAACTGAATTGAGATGTTGTCTTCCAGATTTTATAAACTTTTTAATCATTCACGAGAACGTTCTCGTATTTCTCGATTTTTCTGGATAGCAAAAGCAATTATGAGATATCTATTTATTAAATGCGTGTACTCCTGTATCTTACCTTCTCCAGCGTAGCTTTCTCTTCAATACTGTTTTATATTACCGTGCATTGCACGGAAATATAAAACAATTTTAATAACAAATTCTACTAAAAATACTAAAATAAATACAAAAACCGTAATACTACGTTGAACTACCAGTGTTCAGAAATTTTACTGCCCGACCACTGGTGGGCCATGTTCAACAAGAAGGGCTGTTTAAAATTAGGCAAAAAAGAGCCTTAGTTTGGCGTTAATTTTAAATAAAAGGTTATCCATTTCGAGGACAAATAAACACAGATCCCTCTCTCTCAGAAATAAATAACAAAATAATAATATTTCCTAAAGAACAGCGATCTGTGTTTTTGAAAATCATTTAAAAACAAATCAGTGAACTGATAGACAATTGAGAACTAAGAATATTTATTTTTGATTAAAAAATGTTATCTGTAGAAAAACTATTTGCAACTTTTTAAACAAATATCTAATTCTAATTTTTTAAAAAAAGCATTAAACACTTATATGGGCAGTTTATAATGTACTTTCTGCTTTGATTGAAGGTTAAAAGAAAATATCGTTAAAAAACAAGAATTCAGAATTTCAAAATCGTAGAAATTACGATAAACAATTTAAAATTTTCTAAATTACTACAAATTTTGCTGAGATAAGTGAAGTTTGAGGTTAAGGAGGTTATATACTCATTAGAAATAACCCTTAATCGCCAGATTGGGAAAAGTTGTAATGACATCTTAATTGAAAATTTCGCTGTTGGTCCAAAGTGGAATTCAAGACAATGCTCCTGATCTCAGCAGAGTTCCTTATGTTCATTTATCAAATAAATTATCTCATTAATTAAGATGATAAAATCTACTAAAATTCCCACAGAAAAGCCGGTTGCAGGACTTTTTTTTTCTTTTTTTTTTTTTTTTTTTTTTTTTTTTTTTTTTTGGAATCAAGCATGATTTATCAGTCAGAAAACATCTAAAGAACTAGCACTCATTCAGCCACTTATACCGCAGAAAAAGGCCCATGTTCAATCAAAGGATTATTTCTATTACAACAGATGCGTGAATGACATTTTAATAGAATTTCTTCCAATAAAGGAAACGAGAAAATATTGCTCTTGAAAAAGTAACATTTGTTTTTAAAATCGGTTTATCTATTAGCAGAATGAAGTGTTAAGCATATTCAAAGAGTTCTCTTTATTTTTACTCCAAACGTCATTAGCCCAGAAGGGCTATTAATTTCGTTTTGGCATTTTGCATCGAAAACTTTAAAACACTTTTCAAATTTTTTTTGACTTTTCAAATGTTTTTGACTTTTCAAATTTTTTTGACTTTTTTTGATTTTTCAATTTGTTTCACTTTTCAAATTGTTGCCACCAAATATCGCCCAGTGTTATATTTAAAGAAATTAAATAATGAAGAATCTGCATAAATGTATGCTTGTGTCTCGTATTGTGATAAAACAACGGTACCTGGAGCCAACGGTAATTTTGAATAACGTACGTCTCCACCCAAGTATCGGCATCTTGAAGTCCAAATTTGGAATTTGTTTTATTATCTATTTCATACTTTGTAAAGCATTTATGAGTTTTTGATTAACAAACTCAACGATTTCAAAGCGAAGAATAGAAACACTGTACTAAAAAAAAAGCATTTTTATCTTCAGCGCGCGACACTGTATCAGAAATTTTAAAAATATGCGGGTTTTAAATTATTTTCCGATATTGCTGTTGAACTGAATTTTATGATAGAACAGGATATTTAATAAGGTAACACAAAAAACTTTAAAAAAAAAGCCCTTGCGTAATGTAAAATCTGAAAGCTTTCAAATTTTATTTTTACTTATTTATTTATTTATATTCTTTACCTTTTTAACTTGCACTAAAAACAATTAAATTCTCTTTTTCTACATGGAAATGTTTAAGGAACATTTTTCGTAAAATTCAAAATGTCATTTTAAGGAAAATAAATACCTCTAAAATCTTTTCTATGCAAATTAAAACCATTCTCAAGGAAATTCCAAGAATATTGGCTCTATTATCTGTCATAAAATACTGAAATTGTGACCCAACTACATGTCATTATAATAAATAAAAAAAAAGTATTAAAAAAATCTGAAGTGTTTCAGATTTTAAATTACGTCCAAAGGGCCGTTTTTTTAATGTTGTTTTATCACTATGCGAGAAATAGACATATATTTATGCAGATTTTTCATTATTTAATTTCTTCAAATATAATGCAGGACTCTAACATTTGGTGGCAACAGTTTGAAAAGTGAAACGAACATTTATAGTTATTCAGCGCAAAATCACAAAACGAAAACAATAGTCCTTCAGGCACAAATCCCATTTGGACTAAATATCACATCGAATCCCAAAAAAGGCATGGATGTATGTAAGCGTAAATGAATTTGAGGTATTGGGGCACTTAACATACTGTCGAACCCAAAGTCCTGTCGAAAGTGGAGGGAGAGTGGAAGGAACAAAGGCGTGAAAGAGTAGCATCTGTCCTCCGAGGTGTTCATAAAAACTAGGATAGAGCTGGGAAAATATGCGCTGCCACTTTTAAGATGTCCAAAGGCCTAAGGCAAAGCGACAATTGCGCTTATAGCAAATATTAATTCCGGGCCTTGATATGGTGTTCCTGTCAGACAACTGAGAGAAGTCAAGACAACTAAATATCAATGAAACTGGCATTTAGCTACTATCAATTTCATTATTTTATGTATAATATCATTATTATTGTTTGTTTATTTTTAATGTTCCTTCGTAAATATAGTTTATGAAAAAATATTTAAACGCTTTTGATATACAATGATATACAATTTATGTGTTTGCATAAATAAAATTTCTAATTTCTAGCCGAAAATAATGTTATTAGTCTAAAGGGACAATCTGCCCAGAAGGACTATTAATTTCGTTTTAGCATTTTGCGTCGATTCACTAAAAGCGTTGTTTTACTTTTCAAACTGTTGCCACCAAATATTAGAGCACTATGTTATATTTTAAGAAATTAAATAACGAAGAATCTGCATAAATGTATGTATGTTGCACGCATTGTGATAAAACAACGGAACGTAGAGGCCCAAAATTGAAATTTGTTTTATTATCTATTTCATATTTTGTAAAACTTTAACGAATTTTTAATTAATAAACTCAACGATTTCAAAGCGAGCAATGGCAGCAACGGGGAAAAAACATTTTTATTTCCAGCGCGCGAGACTGTGTATCAGAAATTCTAAAGCTATGTTCTTTTTTAAATTATTCTGCGATATTGCTGTTGAATTGAATTTTATGTTTTAAGTGCGAGGAACGTGATATTGAATAAATAAAGGTAACACACGAAACGTTAAAAAACGCCCCTTTGACCCTTTGAGCGTTATGTAAAATCTGAAAGCTTTTAGTTTATATTATTATTATTATTATTATTTTATTTATTAATGAATTTGAGTACTTTGTACATTTTTAAAGAATAGTAATTATTCTTTTCCAATAATTCAGTGTTAAAGTTGATTTCTCATCTTTACTTTCACTAAATTTGATTAAGACGTTTGACATGTGGAAAAGTTATACTAATTTTAATTGCTGTAGGTAACCCTCTGGTATGCGATTCTCACATCGACTGGATGCGTCGGATTACAACTTCAGCAGCTGTATCCGGCCTGATGCACCTCATCAGGAGGCAAGGCTTGATGGGAAAGGGTAATAGGCAATAGCGAAATAAATAAATAGAAAAAAAAAAAAAAAAAAAAAAAAAAATTGAAATCTTCTAAAAATCTGTGTCTTCATTTTCTAAATTAACGATACTCAGAAACATTTTTTTTTTCTTTGTTGTTTAAATTGAATATCACAAGAAATAAATATTAATCATATAAGGCGTTAATATTTTTAAACTTTCAAAAATGTAGCCATCTTATTTATAAGAAGCATAAGTTAGAGCGGTAATTCCATAAGCTGGAACGTCTTAAATTGCATCACAGCTGTTCAGAACACAATAAAAATTATGTCAGCAAAATATTATTAAAAGAATAGCCACTGGAATAATTAACTTAAAGTTAACAATTTAATGGCTATTTTACTTATCACTCTAAAAATAAAAGCAGCATTTTTCAAGTAAAGAAACGGGAGATATTTTTGTTTATCTCTAACTACTGTGAATTTGCAGCTTCCAGAGCATTTTCCAAGTAAACAAACCGAGACTATCATTTCTTCTATAAATTTGCCCCTTTCAGATTTTGCGTCTTGTAAGAGATAAACGAAGTTTATGGTCATTAAAATATCACTTCTAGACATTTTAAAAACAAGGAATTAAGAATTCATTGGCATTCGATAATTAAATACAAGTTCAGAGGTGGATTAGGATGCATAATATTTACTTGTACGCTTCTTGCTTTCCAGAAAAAAAAAAAGTTATGTAGACACAACATGACTTCCTTGTATGGCCTACTAAATTATATACAATTTTTGCTGAATTTTATTTAAACGTTTTTTTCTCGAATTTCATTAGAGATATATTTCTCATTCAATTAATTTAGTTCTCACCTCGCAGCAAAGCAAAGATAAATAAAAACTCAGCACATCTCACATCTTCATTAAAAATTGTAAAATACAGTTGAAACAGTAAAAAAAAAATTTTTACAATTGAAATTAGTGTTTCTAGTAAAGACATACATTTCGGCCAACAGGCAAAAAGGGGGATTTTTCGGTGCACAAAACTGAAAGTTTACTTTTGGTCCCACTCGGCAAAAAGACATTGAAGGTGCAGAAACTGATTTAATTCACTATTCTACTGAGTTTCAAATTTAAGCAAATGGCGGTTCATTAGGCTAAACTCGCCACTTTTAAATTGTTGATAATTCTACAGTTATTGCATGCAGATAAACTAAACGCTAATTGACTGCGAAGCTATCAAGTGCTTAAAGTATAGCCGGACGTAATAATAGCTTAAGAGAGAGTAGCCTAAAAAGGAGGAAGCATGCTAGCCAGAATCTCTGGTTCTCTGTGACTAAGACAGTAGAACTTCGCGGTTAAATACCGCTCTTCCTGGTTTGCATTCAAATGGGATTCTAAAACTACGTTATGCCCGGAAGTTGTAAGTTGAAATTAAGAAACGGTAGGAAAGGAAGTTTAACTGTTAGCTAAATTAACATAATCCTTACAAACTGTGAAAAGAACTACATTTAATACTTTTAAATTGCTTAATTTATGATCAATAACCTACAGATTAAATCTGAGAGATAGACATCTTACATTTTGCTGAATTTCAACACACTGGCGCGCTGAAGATAAAAGTGTTTTTATTAAGAGCAATGGCAATACATTCCTTAACACCCGTTGAGTTCCTTATTCTAAAATTTGTTAAATTCGCAAAAATTTCAAATAAATAAAATGCAAATTCGAAATTCAAAATTAAGACATCGAGTTGGACATGTTCGAACGAAGGACTACTTGTAGGGCTGGATTAGCCATTAAGCACTATAAGCACTTGCTTAGGGCATTAAGGAAAGGAGGCATACAAAAATTTCCCCTTGCCGGTTTTATTACCAAATGCATGGTACAGCTAAACCAAAACCGAGAGAAAGAATGAAAAAAGCCGTCGTAATGAGTAAACATATGTGGAGGCTTTCATTTCTTTATTTAACGGATTCTGGGTTAGCTTCCATCTTATCTTGAACAACTTTCACCTAGTTAACGGATTCTTGGCCGGCTTCCATCTTTTCTTGTGAGGCTTTCATCGCTTCATTAATAATCCTTGGCCCGCATTCATCTCTTCTTCATCTCATTCACTTCATCTCTTCATCATCTTTCATGCAGCAAAGGCTGTCACTGTTCCTCCACCGCTCTTGCTACTGCCATTCAATTCTGCTGAACTGATTATGAAAAATTACTGATTAAAATATAAGATAAAATATACACCATATATTTTATTAATACAGGAACCAGACTAACAGATCAAATTTTATCTTTTATTGAGTGTATTACCTAAAATGTAAGTAAATTTTGCGTTAACCATGAAAGACAATTTTTACTTATATTTGTACATTTACTATGACTGATATAATTTTATCAGAGATAGTTACTAGTCCTCTTTTCATTCATTCAAAACTAGCCCTCTTTTCATTCATTTAATTTTAATATAAATTCTCCGTGCTCATCTGAACATACATTGGCATTAAATTTCTCTCGCCTGAAATAGGTACAATAAGGTATCAACAAAGATTTTACGAATCCTTTATAACAAACGGAGTAAAGGACGCTGGATTTCTGTATTATAATTTATATATATGAATTGAAAAAATTAATCGAAAAGAGAATTAAAAAAATGGGAATTTTTTTGCGTTTGTGGAAAAACTATGTTCTTCACCTGATACAGAGTAAAAGAAGGCACTGCTCAAATTTACTATATATATTTTTACTTAAATTTCTCTTCAGGAAAAATTGGTTTAATTATCTGGCAACATTGATCTGTTTCCTGCTTTTTGGTATACTCAATTAAATCGTCTGTTCGCTTATATACATTTTGTATAGTTTTGTTTGAAGTGGGAAGTGGTATTTTCGATTCAAGTTAACAAATTAATCATTTTCTTTTTGTATTCGTCGTTTTGTGCAATGTGAGTTTTTCGGCCCTTCATCTTATTACAAGCAGCTCAATATAATGCCTGAAAAAGAGTGGGTATGTATTATAATTTTGACAGCTTCGAAATTTTAAAATTATTTTGGTGTATGAAGCGAAAACGTCACGATTAAAAGACTGTTGGATTTATTGTATGTTTCAGAAAACGGTTCATAAGAGAATAAAATTAAAATTATATTTTAAAGTTTTGTTGTAATGCAAGTATCTATCCTTATTCTATCAGTGTAAAATTTAGTTTATACGAAATTCATAGTAATTTATTCTTTCGCGTTACCGTAAATATGTTAGGTTCTCTTATTTTTTTTAATATGAGCCGTTGATATATTTAATAATTCGAGAAATAATGTTCATTACATTATTAAATTATATTTGGTATGATCAGATTTTTAGAATGGAGGATATTTTCAGTAGAAATGGGATGGAAAATTGGTATTCATTGGATTTATCATTAAAGAACGTATGGATCATAAAAACGAAACACAAAATTAATATGCAGTATATTCATATTTTATGTTTAGTAGTTTAAATGTGACTGAAAGTAACAAGAAAAAAAAAAAAAAAATTATATAGAAAAATGCAGTTATAAGTATTTGTCAGTATATGCTGTTTTTTCCTGTAAATCTGGTCTTTTCATCAAATAGTAAAAACGTCTGTGCAAGCCATCTGTTTATTCATCTGAGTTGAACATATTTTAAATGAATATCTTATGAAAAGCTGTACTTATTAGCTAGATTTTTATAATTTCATATTGTATTGTTTGTTTTCATAATCTTTCATTCATTAGGTTGAACACTAAAGAAAGTAAGTGAAAGCTTTTGAATACAAAAGCAAAATATACCAAATGACAACAGATGACATAAAGAAATAGAAGCAGTCATGTCACTCAGAAAGTTAAAAATTTATGTACTAATCATTAATGTTATTGCTTTTGTTACTTTTAGAGAAGAAATTTCCAAACTCTTTAACTGAAATGCTATTTAAGAGTAGGAAATAGTTTTTAATTACTCTGAGTGTTACTTTCAATTTATTGAATAAAGCAAGAAATTCTGTTGTTTCATTAACAAATGCAAAGTATGAGACATAAGAAATATTCTGTTTTTATATGTGCAGGGATATATTTTTTTTTTTTTGAATCTAATTATTTGAGGTAGCTGTACTGTTTCTATACATTTAGTTGAAATGATGGTTGATTCTGTAATGATCATTAATATGTTTGGTAGTACTTGTGTTCAGTAAAAATATATTTAGAAGTGCCGCTTGGTGAAAATTGGTGATTTTTGGCAGTATATGGATACTGAATTTGTGCAATTCTTTGACTTGTTATTTTCAAAAATCACTGCTACACAAAGCCAATTGACCTATTTTCACTTAAAAAAAAAAAAAAAAAAAAAAAAAAAAAAAAAAAAAAAAAAAAAAATCAGAAAATTGCACACTCCCTTGAGTTTATTCATGTACACATCGACCTATTTTCACTTAAAAAATATCGGAAAATCACACGCTACTTTAGCAAATTGTCAGTAAATCGCACAGCTGGACCGCATCCACTATACTCCCTAAACCTAGCACCCTCTAATTATCACTTATTTTTGTCCTTTGTGAAGGCAAAAAAATTCAAAGCTGAAGCAGATGCCATCTCAGCACTATTTGTGTTCTCTGCCTCTAAGGACGAGATACTTTTCAAAAATGGTATTTGCCAATTACCATCATAATTCCAAGAGGTCATAAGGAATGATGGAATTATTTTGTACAATAAATATGATTAAAAGTAGGAAAAATATATTATTTTCTTTCATTTCCCAAATAGATAGAATTTTTCTGTAGACTTTATATATACATATATGCGATAATTCCGGAACATAGAAGAGGAATCAGCTTGCAGTCATTGTAGCTGAGAGTGAAAGTTTACAGATGAAGACAACAAAACATGAGCTTGATGAGTTTTGAGTCTTTATTTCCACGCATATAAAAACATCTCCTTAGATGTTTATCCAATCATAATGAAATCTGAAACATTTCTATGATTCAATCATAAAGAAAATACGATAAATTTCTTTCTATGCACATTGATTCTTAAAATTAAGACACAGGCAGTTTAGATGGGGAAGCAAAACGAGGAGATATTAGCAAGGTGAAAGCTAGGAAAAGAGTGGTGCAGTTTATTTCCGAGCGGTATTTATACAAAGTATGTGCAGAAAGTTCTCTAAGCTATGGTTGGTTAATTTGAAGTTGTTATATAATCATGGAAGATTCCCAAATTTAGGTGAACAGATGGATTTAGGTGGAGAACACCATATTGAGAATGTCAATTTTGAGGTCATCAATTATTTTTTAAAGCAGCTACCATATTTTGTTATATCTTATATATTTATATTAATCACATACCTCCTCTCATAAAAATAATTAACTTTTTTCAAATAATCCCATGTTTCAGTTTTGTTATGTTAATTTAATAATTTATTAGTTAAGATTTTAATCAGAATGTGAATAATGATAATCAGTATGAAATACTGGATTTTAAAACATTCACTCATAGTTAAAATCATATAATATTAAACTAATGAATTATTTTCTTGAAACAAAAAATATATTTGAAAATATTCTGAAACCCATTTGAAGTGATATGTCTTTCAATTTTATGTAAAGAAAAATTTAAACTGCAAACTAATTAAACCAATTTTTCATTTACTGACAGGGCTGTTCGAAATTATGTAAAGAAATTCATATTTTGGAAAATTCAGAATGGCAAGATTATTTCATTTGCACTGAGGTAAGATGTTTTTATCCATGTGTATTATTTTTTTATGTAGGTATCCCCCCCCCCAAAAAGGAAATGCAGACTGCATTGCTGTCAGAATATTTGACATAATGGACAGTAGATGCATGCAGTGCATGTGCTTGCATCAATAAATATAGCAGACCAGTGTTGGTTAATATGAAGTTCCACTAAAGTAAGATCTTTAACAACATCAGCAGTCATAGATGCATCCAAACATGGCAAAAAGGATGTGATTAATTTCTTATATAAGGATGGAATGTATAGAAATATTTTGATAGATGCAAAGTTTTTTAATATTTGAATAGTGTGAGAAGTTTTGAAAGGGAATTGCACAAAGGATTACATGAGAGCTGAGAGGTTATGCATATCATGATTGCAGAGGAAAATGTAGGGATAAAGGTGAAGAAAGTTCACTCTTCCTCAAAAAGGAAAATTAAAAGGAGGTAAGCATCAGGTCTGTGTCTGTCAAAAAAATTAGAAAGTGTGTATTCAGGTGGTGTGTATTCACCAAAACGTTTAACTGAACAACAAAAGTGCTTGTGTATGGGAATAACCTTGTATGCAACATCTCATTTGTTAGTATAAGCAGAGGCTGGCATTGCTGTCCTAAAAAACAGTGGATGATGAATTCTGGTACTACCATTTTCCACCAATAGGTTATAGAGTCATTAGTTTTTTTTTTTTTTTTTTTTTTTTTTTTATTCTGGACATGTGAAAAATGTGCAATGCTCTCACCGAAATTCAAACTCCGGACCTTCTGAATAAAGCTTCAAGTGTGCTTCCAGTTACTGCATGAGGGCATGCGGAAAGGAGGGAGAAAATACCTTATAAGGCAAATGGATGATAAAAAAATGGCAGCAAAACTGTCCTTATATTGTGCACACTCATCAGAAATAGATGAAAAGATCATATTTACAGAGTTCTTTTTTAAAGTGGAACTATGCTACTTAAACATCTAGAAAGAAGGCCATGATTAGTATTGCATGATATTGTGCACAACCTTTAATATATTCTGCAAAATCATTAGAAATCAATACCAAAGAAAATAGTCCCATGGAATTATTCTAGTTCAAAATAGTACTAAGAGCCCACCAGCAGCAGAGAAATAAAACCGTTGATGAATAGTAGTTTGATCCAGGTTCGGATTCTGGCATATAGGCTGGCTGTATAGGAGTTTCCATGGTTTTCCCTATGTGTAGCATAAATATGAGCTAGTTGCGTTAACTATGTCTCCATGAAGGCATCCTTCTTCTTAGGCATGAAGAAGGCATTATTGAGAATTCAATTCCCAATAATGTCAAACCTTAGATGATGCTGGCAGTAATGAATGTCCTGTGACATTTCTGCTTTTCACATAATTTTAAGAGATGCCATTTCATCTTTATTCAGAAAGTCTGTCGTATAGTGTGAGAATAATGTTGACTGTAACCCTTTAGCTTATTTGGTAAAGGTATATAGAAACTTGTGACATGAGGTTTATATAACCTGATATTTTAACATGAGTTTGGGAGTCTGTGATAAATTTATTGCTATTGTCACACTACTGATATTTTGTCAGTTGTACCACAGTCTTTGTTTCATATGAAAGACCCTAATGAAATAGTTCTTTATTGCTAAATTGAACTGAATATTTATAAAGGGAGCTTTGCTAAGAGGTAAAAATGTGAAATAATTTCATATTTGCAGAAGGGGAATGCTGTCAGCATTTTATTCAGCTCCTACGTATTTACAAGGAGTGGCTATTAATTTCCAGGTCTGCTCTAATAACACCAGAACAGATGATGTGAAAAGCGTAACCTTTTAATATGTTTCGAAGTAATCCCATCTGCAATACACTTCTGTGCTCGGCTGTATAAGTTGTGGGAACAACTTTTTAAAGTTCTCTTTCAGAAGGCTCTTCAATGTTGACGTCACATTGCATGACAACGTCCGCTCCCACATTGTGTTCTCAGTGAAGAGCTTTTTGGCCAAGCATGAGGTAGTGAAACTGCATCGTCCGCCATACTCTCCTGGCTTGGCCCCCGCAGACTTCTTTTCATTTCCCAAACTCAAAACTGTGGTCAAAGGAACGCTCTTTGTGGATGTTGAAGACATCAAGAAGAACGTGACTTTGACATTAAAGAGCCTTCCGAAAGAGGGCTTTAAAAGTTGTTTCCACAACTTATACAGCCGAGCATGGAAGTGCATTATGGCATATGGAGATTACTTCGAAACATATTAAAAGGTACGTTATTCACATCATCATTTCTGGTGTTATTAGAACAGTCCTGCAAATTAATAGTCATATATTGTCAAAAAAATTAGAAGGTGTGTATTTCAGTGAGTGCAATTCAGGTGGTGTGTATTCACCAAAACGTTTAACTGAACAACAAAGTGCTTGTGTATTGAAATAACCTTGTATATAACGTCTCATTTGTTACTATAAGCAGAGGCTGGCATTGCTATCCTAAAGTACAGTGGATGATGAATCCTGATACTACCATTTGCCACCAATAGGTTATAGAGTCATTGGTTTTTTTTATGCTGGACATGTGAAAAATGGGCAATGCCCTCACCAAGATTCAAACTCCGGACTTTCCGAATAAAGCTTCAAGTGTGCTTCCAGTTACACCATGAAGGCATGCAGAGAGGAAGGAGAAAATACCTTATAAGGCAAACTGATGATAAAAAAATGGCAGCAAAACTGCCCTTATAGTTTTAGTTTATGAATATAGAAAACTTCTTTTATTCAAGTTTTGGTCTTTGTCAACATTTTCTATACTTATTTAATTTATAAAACAGAAGAAAATAATTTAAATTTAAATAAATGTGTATGTGTATTTTGAGTTTTGCAAAGGGGGGGATGATTGTTTAGTTATGCTGAGAGGGAAACTTGGAGCATAAAAGGTTGAAAACCACCAAGTTAAATGATTGATGGTGCCTTTGTATGCTGCGGTCAACACAGCAGCTGTAATTATAATTTCTCTTTTCAAATCTCTCTTTATCATAAATTGAAAAATATCCATAGAAGATGAAGTAGCCTTGATATTTGATTTATGAAGATTTCTAGCAATATGTTGTTGGATCTCAGATTTTCCACCATGGATAATGGCAATATGAGAATCACAAATAGAGCACATGCTTTAGATTCAATTCATCCTTTTTCCATAAATGTCCAATTTTTAGTATGTTCATCTTTAAAATGATACTTTCTCTTTGTCACCTTTTTTATTATAGGTATAAAAATGGAGTTAAAAATAGACTTGACATGCAGGAGCGAGCAGTTATTTATTTTATTACATGTCATTAAACAAATTAGTGTCCACCAAGCATTGAGAGTTGAGACTGACTAAGAGATATGTGGCTTTGCTGTGTCTTTAGAAACCCTGGAAATAGCACCAAAACAATTTTACACCGAGCATTGTCTATTTCAGTAGTTGTGGTGTCTTACACAGAGTTTAGGGAGAAAACTGGACAAAACATGGGATTGAATAGTGAAATACGATAACAGTCCCATATACAGTCAAAAGTCGTCAATCCGGACTCGTCGGGACTTCGGCGATTCCGGATTATCGATCTTTCTGGATCATAGATCATCAGTTTAAATCTCGTAAGATGGCATGCAGAAATTCTAAAACTAAAAATATGAAATCGTAATTTATGAAATAAAGAACAGTTATGATCTAAAGGGTATCAAAATTTACAAAAAAAAAAAAAAAAAAAAAAAAAAAAAAAAGCTTAATATTTATTTGTTTACTTTATTAAACATTTCTTTCAATGTAAGTTGTTTAAGTTGCTTCATTTTATGTGATAATAATTTCTCTTTAATTCTATAAACAGACATAATTTCTTGTTCAGTTATAAAGTTTCGCTGTTCAAGTCCTATAATTGCTGTGCCGAGAATACCGACTAACTTGTCAATCGAAATTTTTTCGTTTTCACTAACCTCTCTGTCACCTTCTTCACGTCTTTATCCATTTTTTGTAGCAATTCCACTTTTTGTTTGATGGACATCGAAACATACTTTCGTTTTGTAGATCCTTTGGGAGCTCCAGCATCGGAAATTCTATTTGACATAATCCAAAGTTCAAGTTTACTTTTATAAAATTACTCTTACAGTCTGCAAAAAATAATAAGCCGGATCCACTTCGAAGATTAAGGAACAACGCAATCATCAACATTAACTGAAATAGATAATTTTAGCTTATACCGTCCGTTATACATTAAACGTGCACGCGAAAACATATTCTGCGTTTGCGCACACGCATATGCGCAGTAGTAAAGGTCGTACGCGCACATGTAAACACCTATGCACGTGTGTCAACGCGGCATGTGTGCAGAATTTTTTAGCTTTGAGGTCCGGATTATAGATCATTCCGGATTATGGGTGTCCGAATTAACGACTTTTGACTGTATATGGGACGTATGGCAATACTAAATATTATGTATCTATAATTTTCTTTTCCAAAAAGACTGCAGTTTTTCAGTTTATCCTAGTTTTCAGGTATTCAAGGTAGCATTAATGCTCGTTAATCAGCATTTTACTACATTTCCTCACATTTATAAGGTTATATCCGATAGTAGGATTGAAGTAATTTAACAACAAACTTGCTGCCTAAGTAAGTATTAATTAGTTATACTAACTAAATGATGATGAACTGCCTAAATAAAAATTACAATTTAATTTTAACTACAGGTTTGGTAATCTAAAAATATTTTAGGAAACAATTTTGATGACCTCTGTGAACAAGCTGAATTTTTAGTCTGGTTACCATTTTATTGCAATTATAAGTTTTCTGTGTTGTTCTGAAATAAATATATATTTTATGTATATTATATGTATTGTGCATGCTAATCATTGCAGTTTAATTCTTATTTCTTAAGTCTTACAGATATTAATTTTCAAATATGTGCTTTTTCATGCAGTTTTTTGGCTATGAATTGTGTATCAGAGACTAACATAAAATATGGCTACCAATTATGTTATTGTGATATCTGTTTTAGAAGGTGAGTAATAGTTTTCAATCTATCTTATGCCATATTCTTAGCAATTCTTACATGAAATTTTGAACTGAAACTCATTGTCTTAATTGCAATTATATTGCTGCTATCTATTTGAATCTTGGAAATTTCCTGTCTCTAGATTTATTAATAATAAATGTGCCTTCTCATTTCACATTATCTTTTTAAAGAGTTGGAAATTTTTTTTCTTTCGGGCTTACTTAGGAAAACATCTAATGTTTCAAATTATCCATAGATCCTATACAATGTAAAAAAAAATAATTAAAAAATGTCTGGTCATAATGAAAGTTTTCCGCCAAAAAATTGTTCTTAATAAGTACCTTTAGTGTGAGTAGTAATACCCAAATCTATGATTTTCTGCCAATGTTCTGGTAGTTTTTCAAAGTCTTGAGCCCAGAAACGTGATGGCCATGAGTCCAAAAACATCAACCTCATTTCGGATATTCTGTGCAGAATGGAAGATAGCACTAGCAAAATGTAATTGCAGGTGGGAAAAAAGGTAGAAGTTCAAAGGAGCAGTGTTTTCAGGGCTATGTGTTGGATGTGGCAAAAGAGAGTCCAGCTGGTGAATGCAGACACATGTGGTCTTGCATTATCTTGAACATTACCTTTTTATGCCAGAATTCAATTTTATGTTCTTCCTTGATAGCAGTATCAACACAAACTAGCATGTCGCTGTACACCTTGCTGTTGAGGGATTTACATTTTTTTCTGATACTCTTTGCGGATAATGACAATCCCACCAGGTACAAAGCATGATCTTTTTGATAGCCAATTGCACTTTGTAATGCTGCTGAGAAGTTTTTCGGACACAGACTAACCCCCTTTTCAGCCTGTGTTGTTGAAATAAATCCACTTTTCATCACAAGTGATGATCCGGTCCAGAATTTTGTCTTTGCATTGATAATGCAAAGAATTGCATTCTTTCACTGCAAGATTGCAAAGACATTGCATTGTTTTCTTTTCTAGGAGATAATTGTAAAGAGAAAATTAATAATTAAATTTATATATATGTTTTTCTTTGTTTCTGCATAGCAATACACTTATTTAAATATGAAAAGGAATTTAAAATTGATACTGGACCAACTAAAGAGGAGATATTTTTTACATTAGTAATTTTCTTTTAATCCAAAAATCCAAGGTCAGATGCGTAGCAGGACATGGCACTGACATCTAACTCCTTATCAAGCTCTTGAATGGTTGCATACTGATCTTCTTCCACAAGTTCTTGCAGGCGGGCCTCATCAGCAGGCTTGGCAGAGCGCTTTACTTCTTGAATGTCATAGTCTTCATTTTTGAACGTTCGGTACCAAACCTTCACAGTGTCATATGATACAGCATTAGTACCTGAAGCTATAGACATGACTTGTGACTTTCTGTAGCTCACTTTGCAACAGAATGAGAAGTAAATGATTTTTCTAATCTGACATCATAATAGTTCCACTTCAGACACCTTGTATTTAATGATAACAATATTTATATACAAATTTCACACCGCAGTGTACTAAAGCGGGTCTCTTTCTTTCAAATGCCAAAAATCATTTGACATGACATGATTAAACACTCCAACATGAACTGTTTGCGCAGACAATATTTGCGGTGGCGGGAAACTTTTGTTAAAACCTGAAATTAATAATTTTTGTTAAAAAAGAAACAAATGACACTTTAGATTTTAGTAATTATTTATGGAGGTAAGTATGCAGTACTATACTAAGTTAAACATAGTTATAGAGCTTTCATAATTTATATACATTAAATATTTTTTTACCTTTTAAAGTTATGAAAATACACTTTGGTACTTTTCCGTTTCGCCGGCGCAAATCTCGCCAAGCAGACTTTATTGGCGTCAACATACAGTATACACATAAAAAATATTTAAAAAAATGTTAGTTTTAAGAATTCTTTTTTTAAAGGCATAAACATTTTAATATCGCTTAAAATTTTAAAAAAAACCGATAAATAAAGACAATAAATTTGTAAAAAGACATTAATTTAAGAATTTACTACGCTTTCATGGTTCATATCACGTGACCCGAAGCGATCTCTTCTCACGTAAACTACTCTCTACAAAAATCTAATGCTCTCAGTAATTATGTACATTAATTTCAAGTTAAATCTTAATTTGGAACACAAGTTTAAATGCAAGAAATATTTCAATTCGTACGAATAGCTTACTCAGAAATTATGTAAAACTGCAGTACTTTACTTTGCTAATGCATTCTCATTAGAATTGATGAATTTAACTCTTGACTTTACCTTTTCTATATATTCGGCTTCGGGTAAGCGCTGTGATTGCATCCTAATTGACTTAATTACCGAAAATGTCCTTGGACATAAAACTGAACTATCTGATAAAAATTCTATGTAATTATATGTCAGTATTGAAAGAAACAATCAATCTGATAAGAAAAAGCTGCGACTTGTTTTGAAAATGAGGCGTAAATGGTTACCAGCGAGAATATTCCGTTTGGCATCGGTTGCACCATTATTAGCGACTTTATCGCTTGCGCCGGTAAAACGGAAAAGTACCTACACTTCTGTGCCATCGTAGGAAAGTGTTTATTTCCGATGCTTATATTCAAATTTCTTTTAAAAATAAAAAATACAATTTAAAAAAATAATGTAAAAGATGTAAAAAGAGAATGAAATTATCTATGAAAAGAATGTGAAATGTTAAATGAATATAAAAGGAAATCTAAATGCCTAGATCAGGTGTTCTCAACCAGAAACTTTCTCATGGGTTAATTTATTTGTGTATTAGAGCCTTTTATTTGCATATTAGATATTTAGTTTTAGTTTATGAGTCTAAAATTCAGCTTTTGGTGTTTGTCAAGCTTATTCAGCTTTTGGTGTTTTCTATACTTTTTTCTGTTTAATTTATAAAACCACTAAAAAGTAATTTAAACATTCTAGGGAATCTTATGTTAATTAACTAGTAATTTATAATGTCAGCTTCTCCTTTCTGTATTCCTCACCAGAATGTAAATGAGTATTTAGTGTGTAAACACCAGAATAAGGGTATTATAAAAGTTGTCAAGGTCATTACAAAAATCATATTCAGAAAAGAATGAACATAATTGAATTATGGGAAAATGCAAGTACTTTGAAAGCGATAAGAAGTCAATAGCACTGCCTGGAGCTATGCAGGGGTCTCTTAAACCAGTTAAAATTGTTTTAAAAATAGGGCTTTTATGTAGATGAAGCCTTAGAGGAATTGCAAGTTATGTCTAATGTTTGAGACATCAGTGTGATTATATGTGCCAATTTACAAAAATATTGATGCAATGTGTGTAAAAACTGACTACAAAAGTATTATTAAAAGAAATGCCGAAACGGAGAGCAAAAGTGATCTAAAAAATAGTCATGATATGCCAACATAACTAAATCTAGAAAAGCATTGCAAACTTTAAGAAAAATTCTTGAACTGAAAAGTGCTGATCAAAAAAGCTACCAGCAGTTTTACAAAATTGAGAATATAATTGAAAATTGTTGTTGAATTATATGAAGTAAATGCAGATAAGATAGTTGTGTGTGAGACATAAAATTTCATCAAGAATATAATTATAAAAATATTTTTATGAAAAATTTTAAAATGAATTTTAAAATTACACAAATAGTTTAATTTTAATTATTATTTTGAGATTAACTAATTAGGATTAATTATTGAATTAGTTGTTAATTATTATTGGTACTTTTCCGTTTCGCCGGCGCAAATCTCGCCAAGCAGACTTTGTTGGCGACAACATACAGTATACACATAAAAAATGTTAATTCTAAGAATTTTTTTTATTTGAAGGCATAAACATTTTAATATGGTTTAAAATTTTGTAAAAAGCCAATAAATAAAGACAATAAATTTGTAAAAAGACATTAATTTAAGAATTTACTATGATTTTATGGTTCAATATCCTGATTCGCCGGTTCGTATCACGTGACCCCAAGTGATCTCATCTCACGTAAACTACGCTACTAAAATCTAATTCGCTCAGTAATTATCTACATTAATTTCAAGTTAAATCTTAATTTGGAATACAAGTTTAAATGCAAGAATTATTTCAATTCGTACGAATAGCTTACTCAGAAATTATGTAAAACCGTAGTGCTTTACCTCGCTAGTGCATTCTCATTAGAATTGATGAATTTAACACTTGATTTCGCCTTCGGATGAGCGGTGTAATTGCGTTCTAATTGACTTAGAACTAATTGACTTATTACCGTGAATTGTCTTAGGGGATAAAATTTAAATATCGTGTAAAAATTCTATATTATTGTATGCCAGTATTGAAAGAAACAATCTGATAAGAAATGGCTTCAACTTGTTTTGAAACTGAGGCGTAAAAGGTTACCAGCTAAGATATTCCGTCTGGCATCAGTTAAACCATTATTGGCGACTTTATCGTTTGCGCCGGCAAAACGGAAAAGTACCTTATTATTTAATTTGTAAGGTTTAAAAGTGATATCGGGATTTTACAAATCACTGTCTATTAAATTCAGTGGCTTAATAAACTCGCATGTCTTTGGAATGGAAGTAATTTTAAATAAACGGCAAGTGCTGTAGTAGATAATAATTTAAAATATTTTGCTTTGTAGCTTTCTTGAAAAATGTTTGTTAATGAATGAAAGTTACTGAACATGAAGACTAAAATTATTAATTATGCAAATTTTGCTAATAGATTCTGTTTAAATGCAGGTCTGCATAAGCAGATTAAAAAAGCCTTGCGAGTCAGATGATTAAATGTCTCATATCATTTACTTAATTGTTTGCTTCTGTCTCTTCTTTTGTACTTCTGTCTTCTATAAAACATAATTTTGAAATTTAACTTCATGTAAAATTTGGTTGCAGTAAAATAATAATTATTATTTGTTTTTGTCGAAGTAAATTTTTATATTTGTGTATGATTTGTAATTTCTTTTAGGAAAAAACTTTCCTGTTCGTCATGACAAATATTTGGTTGTTGAAGCCAAATTTGATGGAGAAGTTATGTCCACTGATCCTGTGACTCACATTATTCGTCCTCATTTTAACACAGAATTAGCATGGGAGGTGGATAAAAAAGGCCTTCAAATGCATCGGCTTCAGCGATCTCCGATTAAACTTCAGTGGTATGCAGTTGATTTAGAACTGACAAAAAAAGAAACTATTGGTTATATGATATTAGATATAAGACTAGCTCAGGAGAAGTTGCAGGTAATTTGTTTCATTATACACTTTAAAGTGAAATAATTTTATCTGAAATATACCTTAAATTTAATCTGTTAAAATTCTCCATGCAAAACATTGTTATGAGCTTGGGTTGCCTTTCAAAACACAAAAAAGCAAACAAAGAATTACTCCATTAGTATAGAATGTGGAAATTATTCTGACGCATGGATTGGAAATTTGAGATGACTATGGGAACATGCTGGAAATGCCTGTCTCTCTCTCTCTTTTTTTTTTTTTTTATTATTATGTTGTTTGTGTGGCCAGCCACCTGAAATGACTAAATAATTATTTGAAAATAGAACATATGTATGATGGTTCTAGTGAGTTCACTTCACGAACTGAACTCACTAAAACCATCATATATCACAAATCAGAAAATGAGCTTAACAAAATCAAAAAATGAGCTTAATTACATCAAGCTCATTTTTTGATTTTGTAATAAACCAGAAGTACTTCTTTCTTGATTACACTAATTTAAACCTCTGAGCGCCATGACTGGCTTTGTCCAGTTGTGAGATTTTTTGTCACTTGCTATATATTAGCTTAAATTTTACAATATTTTGCTTCTTTGCTTTCTTTAATAATATAAATGTCATGTTAATAAACGTAACTTTATAAAGCCCAAACTAATTTATACAAATTTAGTTGAAAGGGTTCTTTAAATACAGGTTCTTCATGACAGATCCAAAAATCCAGGCTGAGTAGTGCTCAGAGGGTTAATTAGTTGCTCCAGTCCAATGATTCTAGACGTTAGATGTATTAGAAATTATATAGTGAACTATAGTAAATACTGCTGTTTATCATCACTCTGCAATTTCTTTAACATGGCAGCTGTTTTTAGTGTTGCTATGAAAAGACATTGAATGAAGAAAAATTTTTTGCTTTATTTTTCAGTGAACAAATGTGATCTTTCCTTCAGATCTTTTCAACTAAATTTATATAATTTTTGGCATGCTATTGTATTTTTCAATATATATTGGCATTACTGATATTAATTCAAATATCACTTGTTTCCTTTTGATTTGCTTTCATTTTTATTGAATAGTTTGGTGATAGAGAACACAGTGGTTGTTCTATAGCAAAAATCTTTTTTGTAATTAACCAGTCTAGCTTTTTAATTTTAATCATACACACATATTGACACAGTAAAGACTGTAACATTTAAAAAAATAGCTCTTTTTGCCTCCTTCTTTTTAGCATTTTAATTTAGTATTTATTTTGTAAGCATGTGGGTAAAAATCTTGCTTTTATTAAACTTTTATTAAACAGAAATGAGGATATTTATGCACATTGTATACTTGCTTTTTTGTCTTTTACTTATTTCATATTTGCTGTTGGAATCATGATACTCTGTCTGCTCTGTATTCAACAGTTTAAGATTGAAAATTTCAGGTCATATGTCATAATTTATACAATCTCTAAAGTGCAAGTGTTGTGGAGAAACAAAATTTTGTGCAGCTGATTTGGTAGTTTCATCATATATTTTTGTTCTCCATTGTCTCTTCATTGGCATAGAACAGTAAATTTTTCTTCCCTAAAATAGTTTAATTATCACTCTGCTAGAAATCTTCTAGCTTCTGCAGACAAGCTCTGTAATTTTCAGAACATCAGTTTTTAGTTTACAGCTATTGCCTCTAGACAATGCCAGTGTTAAAATTTACAGGTGATATAATTCACTTGTAAAATATCTTGTTATGCATTCCTAGCAATTTTACAGCTACAGTAGTTTGAAAAAAGAAATAACAGTATGTCTGTGTTTTCCCATTGACCCAGAAAGTTAGTGGAAATCTTGCCCAACTTGTTACAGATGGTTACCAGACATTCTGGTGGATCGAACATATAAGAGACTTAAATAAATGAGATCTCAATGCTTGAAATTATTTGACAAACAAATTCATTTAAGCTTGGTCCAATTATTTCGGCACTCGAAAGTCTCTAATGGCATTTAAAATATTAAAATACCAAAAATATAGTCATCTTCTTTGTGAATTTGGCTCCTCATAAATTCACTTAAATGAGAATCTAATTGATGATGCACAGCTGTTTAATTACACCACTTTCCCAAATCCCAGAATCTTTCAATGTTTTGAGTATGTGCACTGATATTATGCACTGATATAAACAATCCTGTAAATTCGAGTATACTTCTTGATCTTCTATAGAAGGTAGATCTCAATTTTTTTTTAATTATAAGAGAAAAACATAAAAATAGGAATTACTTGTATCCTTCTTTTACTGAAGTTAATTGAGTCTAATTGAGTTTCAGGATTACATAAAACCAAAGCAAAAATTGTAGGAATTGTAATGTTTTTCTTGTATATTATAGGTGCCAAACTGCACTGTTTGATGACAGTTTTTGTTTGTCAAAAATAGTTGACAGAAAAATATATATTACCAAAATACACTATCCAACATTGAAAATGCAAGACCAAAAAGGAGTGGCCCGAAAATTATGCAAATTTCAAGGTAGATGCTTGTCACTGAGTTATGTGAATGATATGAAGTGTGCAGCTCTCCAGTACGCATTGAAGAAGATATAAGGCAAGGAACCTGCAGAACGTTGAATTTTTGTGCCGTTATTTCTGCTGGGGAATCGTAGAAAATTTATTCTTGTCTCAGAAGACAAGTCTAATAGCAGACAATGCCACACCATTGTCAATGAAGGCAGTTCCAGCAGGCAGACAATTTTACCAGGGCCATGGTGATCGGAATAAGAAGGGCAGGTTGGTCCATATGGCAAATTTCACCTGACACACACCTGGATGCATCCACAGTGCACCGACTGTGGTGACAATGGTTGGCATAAGGAAATGTAGCAAGTTGGAGGGGTACTGGTGCAGCCAGACGTCAGCATGCATAGATTGACACATACACTAATAAGCAGTGGCACGCCCTCTAGCCACTTCTACCTCCATTATGTGACATGTTCAAGATACCCTGGATAATCCCACATCAACCAGAACCATTTGCTGTTGATTGGTGGCTAGTGGTCTGCATTTGTGACATCCGTTAAGAAGACTGCCATTCATCCCACATCATAGACGGCAAGGTCTGCAATGGTGTAGGGCTGGAGGGATGCGGATGATGGATTGGTACATGTTCCACTTCCCAGATGAGTCATGCTTCTGTTTCTCCAATGATAGTTGCCGTGTATGAATGTGGCGCTGATGTTGAAACAGGTACAATGCGGCAGCAATTTTAGAACACACCATCACGCGACAACGGGGCATCATGGTTTGGGGCGCAAAAGCATACGGTTCCAAGTCACCTCTCGTTCGTATTCAGGGCACTATGAAGGCCCAACAATACGTGGATGATGTGCTGTGGCTAGTGACATTCCCCTATTTGCAGACCCTGCCATTGCTACGTTCATAAGATGAATTGTGGCAAATGGTTGACAAGGAATGGAGAACCATTCTCAGAACACTATCCATAGTCTAATTGACTCTAATTGACTATCCATAGTCCTAGATGTGTTGCTTCGTGGTCCAAGGTGGTCTTGTATTATGGATATCATTTTGAAATAAAGCTCACGTATTGCTCGTTTCTGTCTCTGTCTGTTTGCTGAGTTTCATCACTTTCTGGCCACTCCTTCTTGGCGTTGTATTTTCAATGTTGGGTAGTGTATTACTTTCTCTAAGCAAATCTGAAAACAGCAAACTTGCAGAAAAATACTGTGTGTTTTGTAATAATTTGGAAGTACTATATTACTTTAAATGATAAATTTTGTTAACATTTTCATTTAATTAAAGAAATCCATCATTAAAGCTCTATTGTGTAAAAAATGGAGACTATGAGTATGTGATTTCATCACATTGTGAAAAGATAGTGGCGCCTAAATCCACCAGATTTTGAACACATATAGTCCTGCGTCCAAACATGTCCTTCTCCACCTGAAAGTTTAAATTTTGAATTAATTTTTGTTTGTTTTATGCTTTGTGCAAATTTAACAAAATTTTATTTAAAAAGATTCATAAAATCAATGCATATGTTATTTCCATATGCACACACTGTTATAATGATGCATGCATTTTTTATGACTTTGTGCTTAAGAGGTTAAAATTTGAGAACTGCGTAGAATATAAGTACAAAAAAATTTGGTTTTAAAAGAAGTTCGATATGTAGTTTTTTACGGACTAAGATGCTTATTATGTGCATTTTATTTTAATAGCAATGATAGTTATATTTTTACTGTATTTTTATTTCAACCAGTCACTTGCGTGGCTAATCAGTCAGGTGAGATTGAAGACAGCTGTTAAGTAAAAGATGCCATTAAATCAGGGTTAGACTATTTATTAACTAAAATTAAATGTTGGTGTTTAGAAAATATTTCTTTCTGAATTATTGTCATGCGTTTTTAGGTTTATCTCTTACATCGGGAAAATTTTTTTTTAAATCTCTGTCATGTAGAATAAGAAAAGGAGAATAAATATGAGTGAAATTATTTAGAAACTCCAGCATAATAAATTTATAGGCAAAAGACAAGGTTCTTTGTTACTGAGTGTATCCAGATGAATAAGAGAATAAATTCTAAGAATACAACTCAGACTACTGAATAGCATTAAAATGTTTGGTTTGAAAGAAGTAATAGTAATAAATATTTTAAAAATAAAATTTATATTGATATCACTCAGATGTACAGAGCATTACTTAGAATAATTCATATTCATTATTACTTTTTTATTTGTTTAAAATTTTCTGTTTTTATTTTTTCAGAGCCCAAAATGGTTTCCCTTATTAAATTCAAAATACCAGAAGGAAAAGCCAGAAGTATTGTTATCGTTGTACTTAGAAAGGGTAACTGAAGATATTGCACCACCATTACCAGATGGAAATCTGTCCTATAACTACAAGAGAAATTCCATAAGTGATGACAGGAATGGACGTAAGAAACCTGGCCTAAATGCTGGTACACAGAAATGTATAAAGCCAACTAATGGGCCTTTACATACTAATTCAGTATTAAAACCAGTATTACTCTCTCATGCTGGGTGTTATCAGATTGGTCCACCTGAACTTTGTAATGAAAAATTCATATTTTCTGTAACATTATCTTTTGCAGCCAATCTAAATAAAGTGAGTTTCTATGCTTCTTATTTATTATTAAAACCATCTTATTTTTTGTAGTTACTTTTTAAAGGCATTGACATTTTCTTGATTTTTTAGCTTACACCACCAGCCATGTTAAAGTCTTCCAAAGGCTTTTATTTTTATTATTCTCTTTTTGATAATGATGTGACAACAGAAAAGTTTTCAAGTCTTTCCAGTCCTGATTTCCTTGCGGAAAGAGCTTCTGTACGAATTTCTAGCTCTTCAAAATTGCTTTCTGAATATTTTGAGCAGCATCCTTACCTAGAGGTAGGTCAGATATTATTTTTAATTTTATAAGACATAATAAAACTGCAGAAACATAGCCATTGACTATATTAATAGCTCTAACTGCTATTAATATAGTCTCTAATATATATAAGTCTGATATTTAATTGCAGTAATAAATGTAAAGAATAAATAGATAGTCCAACATTTCTTCTGTTCTTCATTATGCTATAAACTTGCAAGTGATAACTCTAGGTGATAAATCTGGGGGGGGGAGAAGAAGAAAAAACAGATAATCTTATAAATAAACTTCATACTATGATAAAATGTAGCTTTCTTTCCTTCTTCCCCTCTTTTTTTTTCCAAAAAATATTAGAGATAGATGTTGCCAGTTTAAATTAATCTATTTAACATAAACATTAGCAAATGTCCTCAGTAATATGGGCAGTATTCAGTGATGAGGCAACTAAATAACTAATGGGATTAGCCATACCATATAATGAGAAAACAATACTTATAAAAATACATTTTAAACTTATAAGTTTGCTACTTTTTTAAACCTGAACTTAGAGCTGCTGAAAACTCTCTGTTAATTTATATGCATTGTGTATATGTAATTTGTATGCATTGTATGGCACTGTAGTAATCTTGCTTATTTACAAAAGATATATTTCGTATATGGTACCCATGTGTAACGTGTATACGAGCCAGTTTCCCTTAGAAAGTCCTCCACGAAGGCATCCCTCCCTTTAGGCAGATAGCCCTCGTGTGCTTTGCCATAATTGAATAACCCATAACCCGTATATGGTACCTGGCCCTAAAACATGCATATTTAACACGAAACCTAGATCCAGTCACTATCAATGAAGAATGCTTTTGGTGTGCACCTATGAATTTGAAGATCTTGGAATTAATTCTTGATGATGTAAATTGGGTATTATCAGTTTATGTTGATAGATGGCCCGCTGCCATATCAGCTATAAAAATCGAAGTGAAATCAACAGGCTTCTTCGGTTGTGACAGTAGTCTTCAATTATGACATGATCTTATCTGATTTTGTCTATTTATCATTTGCATAGGCAATACGCTTCAGTGTACCACAGGCTAATACATATGATCTCCAATGTGTTGGATTCGTAAACTAGATACGAAGTGCAAAAGTGGTTGTTTATATCGTGGCCATAATCTTGAATATATAGTGCTGCATGTTGGATGGAGGATTATGTAATGATCTCTCTTGCAGAAGAGATGTACCATATTCATTTCATGAACTTATAGCATCTAGTCCAATTACTGTAATACGTGGCTGTGAACTGAAATGTTTGCAATTCTAGGAAATGGGAACTTAGTACTCGTAATTTAGATAGGTATGCGATATCACTGGTATAACCAACATTAAAATAAAAGTATTGCACTGCTCTATTTTTTGCAAAATGTTAAAGTACTTGCATCAAAAGAAAAAAAAAATGTTATCCATTTAAGGCTGTGACATATCAATTATCTGAAATGTATACGTACTGATAACTTGTTCGTAACTATTATTAATGATATGCATATGTATGGGTTGTGTCAATGCCATTGAGGAGGGGTGGGGACATCAATAACTGCACTGATAAATTTCAGAAGTGTATGGAGTAAAATTCTTAGTATCCAAACTGAGCCTTCAACCTATCTGTGTTTAAAATATATATGAGGTAATTTGGCATAGATGATTTGAGGATTTGAAGATAACACAAGTACATCAGATGACGTAACGTAAAAGAAAAACTTAGACATTGGCCTAGACAACAAGACATAATTTTATTTCTTGATGACTAAATTCTGAGCGCTCAAATTCTCGCACATCACTATGGATGCAGTAAGCACCCTATAGTAGCATAATGTGGGGGGAGAGAAGAAAAAAGAATGAGATTATTGATGTTCTTAATGTGTAAATAAACCATGCTTGTCAGTGAGTTGTTTTATTTTAGCTTAAAAAGAATAAACAGCTGAGTAACTGAAATTTGAAATTCTAGGTGACTGATGCTTTACTGTATAAATCTCCGGGTATCATACTTTGTAGGTCAGTCTGTAGTGTAAATATTTGTATTTTTTTAAAAAAATAGGTATTTTTTGATTATCTCTTTTCAAAAAAATTACCAGCTAGCAGGTGACTAATTTTTGCAAGTTAATATGCGAAAGGCAGCAGCAATTTTCAACATGGCAGTATTGTAATAAGATACTTCTCTTTTTAAAGAAATCCTTGTGTATTTTTTTTTATTGTTTTCCCCTCATCACAGTGATTTGTTTTCATTTAATTATCAGAGAATTGCATAAACTTGACACTGTGCATGCTTTTGTTCTCTATGTACTCTATGTTCTCAATTTGTTTTCGTGTAAAAGAAAATCAGAGAACTGCACAAATTTGGCATCCTGTATTCTAACATTTTGCTTGTAATTTTTCACACTTCATTTCCATAAAATTCTGTCCTTTAAAATAGTATGAAAAGTAGAATTTCATGAAATGCAAGTTTTTGCATTTTCTTCCGTTGGTCAAAATGATATATTTTATATTTATATATTATAAAGCAATGCTCTCTTTTTTATTAGCCAGCATACTTCACAGTCCCATTATGATTTGTTAAAAGAAAAAAAGTGCTGAATGCAAAAAGAAATACTAGTGAGAAAAATGGCTATTGAATTTTGATGGTTGTGCATACATAGGTTGCCACATAAATATGTTTTAGCAATATCATGGATTGCCTCATAGCTATTTTGGAGACAGTGCATTGCCTCATGATTACTTTTTGGTGAGGTGAATAATAAGAAAGAACCAAAAATTGTGCAGAACAGTTTGATAAGTTTTGTTTGAAAAATAAAAATATATGAATAATTCAGTTGAGGAACTCTAGAGACATCATTTGTATGCTTTATTTTTAAAGTTTTAATTCTTTTTTTTTTTTTTTTAGTTTGAATATTGTTGTATATATATATATATGTATGTATCAGGAAATGAAAAAATAGGGACCTGAAACTCCAAAAATGTATTTAATAAGTGGCACTGCAGTGTATACATCTGTCATTTTAAGTATTTTGTCACTACAAAAGATACAAGATATTTTCTAAAATATGGTTTACCGTGTTTTTATTTTTTTGCTACAATATTTTAATTTGTAAAGACGAAATATATGAAATTTTGTTTGAAATGCTGCAAAACTTCCAAACATTAACATTAATCTGAAGTAGTCTAATAAAGGATGTTGAAATGAAATACAGCAATATTCTTTAGTAGGAACTTATTGTTCCTGATTTTTCCTATAGGAAATCTTGATTCTACTCATACAAGGACTTCCTGGCTGTATATGCAAGCTACAGTTCTGGTAATTTTACCACGAATCCTATATTGACTTAAATGCCAGGCATGACAGGCAGTACTTTAATTTCTTCTCTGAATGAATTGTACCATATCTTTTTTCCAATTTAGTATTGCTGCCTGGATAGTAATTCTGTAGTCTAAGCATCTTGATTTGGTTTCATTTGTTATGTGTTATAGAAACAGCAATAACAGTCCATACTGCTTGGCTGATTGTAATCTGTTATATAAATATTTTGATTGTAGCATATATTAGAAATACTGACAATAAATATTTTTTGTGATAAATTATATTATTGCCAAATATTTTTTATCAGTTTAATTAAGAAAATGTTTTCTATCTTCTCAGCAACGAATTGCAAATAAATTCTCTTAGTGAAATTTAAAATATTTTTTAGAATTTAATAGTATTTTTTCACATTAATGATAAAAATATGTAGTTTTTCTATAAGCCTATAGTGTAATCGTTTTAGAAATGGAATGCTAAATAATAGTTCAATTAAAAATTCTAACTTCCCTTTCTAGTAATTAATAGTTAAAATTAGTCATAAAAAATTTCTGATTGCCATCTTTATATTAATTTTGTATATTCAACTTGCATGATGAAATCTTTTTCTGGTATACTATTAGCAATTTTGAAACTTCTAAACTAGACATTTTGTAGCCTCTAAAGTAGCTTGTTTTGCATTTTTTTATTTCACTTCTAGTGATAAACATTTTATGATACTTTTTTAATGTTACTTCCTAGAGATTTATTTATTAAAATACGTTTTTCTACAACAATTCAACAAAACATTTGAGAAGGAAAAAAAAAATTTTAGTCTACATTTATATTTGTAAATGTATCCAATTATCAATATTTGTTCATTGTTGAAAGAAGTTTATTTGGTACTTTTCTGTTATGTATTTGCCATGCTTTTTGGCATCTGCACATAAAGCCAAACACATGTCAAGAACCAACCATAGCACCATAGTTGAATGTGTGTTTTTAATTACAAATAATTTCTGGTGTATGTGTCTGTATGTATGCATGCATGCATCATACATATACATGCATTACAAATTGTTTGCAATTAAAAATGCTGCTAAAATGAGTGATGGGTGCATAACAGAAAAATACCATTTATTTAAATATCTTGATTTAACTTGTAAATAATAAAGCTGAGTATAGCAGAAAAATTTAAGGATAAAATATGTGGCATTAACAAAAGTATTAGGGATAATTTTAATAAATTTTGAAATTAATTTAATAGTACAGCAATAGAAGTAGAGTATTTCATTCATATCTGTTTGTCTAAATGTGTCACAGTTTCATGTAAGTCTAATCTGTAATTCATAGATATTTTTAACACAGTGTAAGAAATGACAAAATAAAATGGAATGGACATGCGTTTAAGGAGACATTTAGTGTACTTACACATTGCATCCTTAAATGCATGCCCATTCCACTCTGTTATTCTTCCAAGCATCTGCTAATAAATGAATTTGTCTGAAAAACAGTACTGAATAGATATATGAATGTAGAACTGTTATTATACATAAAAAATATGGTCAATATAACAATTGTGTTGTTACATAGCATAAAATAAACAACTTTCATAGAGCGCTAGTGTTACTATTTAAAAGAAAGCAGGTATACCTCATAATAACCATGGAGATGAAGTTTCATTGCTGATTGGTACAAAGATGAACAATCAGCATTGTTTTGCAGAAGGAAGAAAAAATGTATGTATTTTTCTTTTATTGGTAAATCATGTTGAGAGGTAATGTTGTAAATTCCAAACTGTTAGTTGTCATAAGCAAAAGGGTGTGTGACAAAGCTATAACCTCTTTGCTTCCAGTGTATCCAAATATTTAGATAAAAAGCACTAATCCAAACTGTAAGAATCCAAATATTTAGATGAAAAGCAGGTTTTAGAGGAATTATTTTTGCATGTTAGGCTTAATTGCAAAATGCGCTCAGGCACTTATTCTCAAATAATATATTCTGCAGCAGTATTAAGTTTTTCTTAAATTGGGGAATTTGTTATTGTTGGTATGTATTTACAGAACTTAATTCAGTAAGACTAATTTTTTGTAATTGCATTAAAATAATACTGTAAAAAATTGTTTAGTAAATATTTCTTTTTTATGAAAATGTTATTGATTTCTGGAATATAATTATGTATGGAAACGATTTAAAATAATCTAATCAAGAAATACTAGTTGTTATTTTGTGATTTGTTATTTGAATTAGCTTGATAGTTGGGTTATTTATACATCTCTGACAATTTATCTAATTATTTTTGTAGATAATACTTTGCTGTGGTGATATGTCTTTGGGCTCTGGCCAAATTCCATTAGGTCCCTTTTCATGTGTAAATAATCATGATATAAATAAAGATCCATTGTGCATTGAAGGAAGTGTGCAGGTGGGTTTTGCCTGCTGTTTTCTTTCTTTCTTTTTTTTTAATCCATACTTGTATCTTAAATATTTAGCTTTCATGATGTAGATTTTGATAGAATTAGATTTATGTGTTATTCACAATTGCAGATAATTCCAACAGAAAGAACATCTAGAACTGGAGGTGATGATTTATCTCCATTTGTTGGTGTGACGGTTGTTTTGCAAGCTGATAAGGTGAAATATCTGTATTTGATATTTGTGAACAGTTACTACATCATTTGTTTAACAGCCTTTAATGTCATTATGAAAATCTTAAAAATTTTATAATTATTCAAATGGGAAACATAATTTTAATAAAAGAAGAACCATTTTGTATTTTAATTTTGTCTAATTTCCTGTTCCTTTTTATTTCAATGCTATCCAGCTCCTTTTTGTTTGTATAGGTTATCTTTTTTTTTTTTTTTTTTTTTTTTTTTTTTTTTAACAGATGATATCACAATCTGCTGTTGAGCTTCAAAAACATAAAACGATGATTATTAATTTAGTACTTATTTCAAAGAAAAGAAAGAAGCATAATATTTATAAATAAATATAACTTTTGATAATTCAAAGAAATTAGATCATAAATGTTGAAACAAGAACTACTTAGCTTAGCGCCTTTTAACACGTTGAGCCCGTCGCCGGTCCCTGAGGACTTGCAGTGAACTTTCCGTTTGGCTGGCGTAAAAATTGGCTGGAATTTTCGTTTGGCTGGCTTTCAGATGGTTGAATGGAAAAGATAGCAAATTCAGCGCGGGGCTCAGCGTGTTCACAATTTTTCCCAAGAGATAATTTTTGATACAAGGTTACCACACAATTGACAAATTCTAGTGCAGCTTACACATTAGTGACCATAATTAATGCTGTTTTCATTGCAATTAATTTATTCAGCTATATTTTGTATTAGAACAATTTACAGCAGTAATATTAATAATATGGTAGTAGGTATAATAGTGACTGCTCACAGCTGAGCCATAAGCACAATATGGTGAATGTAGCTCATGTAGTATACATAGTTCATGTACTTGGTAGTTCAGTTTGAATTTTAGTTAGCTCGAATTTTTAGTTTCTGTTTAGTTAGTTCAGTTTGAATTTTAATCTTTTGATTTTTAACTATTATAGTGATGCATTGAAATGTGACCCAGATATAAGTGAAAGGACTAAGAGAAAAGGAGTAATTATACAATTGCAAAGCATATCATTATTTAAAAACTGTCTGCAGAGCAGTGCATCTTTCTTCAAAGAAGCAACTGCTGTTTAGTTGGTTAAATTCAAGTCGTGATGTTTTATTTTTTGCCCATTATACTGAGGAACTGGAATGTTACCTAAACAAATAGAATCCTAAAAAAGGAGAGTAGTTATGCACTTGCAAAGTGTGTTATTGTTCAAAGTAAACTTCCTTCATAGCAATTTATATTTTCTATTGTTCTGAAAACGCTTTTGCTCTTTCTTTGACAAAAGGTGTTTTATTAGGTGCATAACCTCTTTTGAATTGCTGCGATGGTAACGAGTAGCACTTGGAACTAAATCTGAACTATAATACGAATGTAGTAACATATCCCTGGCATAGAACAACACTGCTTTAAACCAGAAAAAAAAAAAAAAAAAAAAAAAAAAAGCTTCTAAGTGGGAACAATACCCAGTGATTTATTATGATGATCTGGTGTTCCCCTTACTTTTACCTTTATCTCTATCCATGTGTGTATGACAGATATCGTTCTCCATATTCTCTACGAAGCCTGTCAAAAAAAACTTGAGATCTCTTCACTCACTAAAAATTTAACAATAACCTCTTGGCCTGTTGATTAGAGTTCTTCCTGGTTACTTATCTCTAAAGCTTAGGTTTTGATATTAAAAATTAAGGGGAAAAAGTTTTTAAAACAGTTAAAATGGGGCACTTAAAACGAATATATGGATAATTGATTAAATCTGTCATAAAAAGTTAATGGGAATAGTGAGTATGCAGATAGTATCATATTGAAAAAAAAGAACAATATATAAATCATATTTGAACTGCACTGACAAAAACTGAGCTGCTTCATCATTGCTGAAAATTTTGTTCAAGTAATGTAGGAATGCTCAGATTTTACTTATAAAACTGTACATTATTCTTGTTACACATTGCTACTAAATTCTAAACTAAATAAAATATGTTTGAATAAACTGAATAAAGTATATTTGAATCATGAGCATCAGCTGTAACTGATGTAGTAAAAGTTGTATTTGATATAATTTTTTGCATATGCCAAAAGTAAAAGCTTCAGAGAAAAATATTCACTAAGAAATTTTTCAGTCTCTTTAGTGCATTCAAATCCTCATTTGATGCTCTGGTTTTCTCACATTCTTTTCTGAGTTTTACCGGGAATGTAGTTTAAATTACTGTACATTTTTCTGTGAAATATTTTAGGTATCACTTTATTTGTTGTGATTTTAATTTGATAATTTAAAATAGTTTGAAAATATTTCTTGTAAAAAAACAAAAAAACATTTGCACCCCCCCACCCCCGCAAAAAAGAGTAGATGGAGAGTCTTACCCAAAGAAATGAGAAGCAAATTTTTAATTATAGAATTTGTGGTATGAAGTACAGCTGGTTTATTTGTGCCATAAAATTATCTTCTAAAAGGATGCTGTGTAATTTTGAATGAATGAATTTGAGTATTTTTAATGAGGACAAATTATTTTTTGAAATACTTTTATATATGTATATATAGATAAATTGTAAATTAATGACAAAATAAATTACAAAGAAAAGGAATCAAATTTGAAGCATGCTAAGTTATACTTTAAAAATAATAATTTATTAAATTAACAGAATATTTTGCATATTAAGCTGTACTGAAAAATTAATTATTTGCAAACTATAAGATACTGTATGACATTTTCAGACTTAAAAAATATAGTTTGAATAGTTGTGTGTATATTATCTTGATGGTTTCAAAGTACTTTTGTCTTCATTTTGTTCAGAAAATAACCAAATTTTTAAACTATTTGGAAAATTATTTCATAAAATAGATAAGAGGGTTAACCTGTGCAAACTATTAGAAACAAATTTTATGCAGACTTTTACTGTTACTTTGTGAAATAATGCTTCAGGTACAGGGTGATCAGCGAATAAGCTCTGATTTCAAAATTAAATATCTCTACAACAAAAATCTATAGAATTATGTGGTAAACTGTACATTTATTAGCAAAACTGTAAAAATGGTGTACAAAAGTTTAGAAAATTTAGGTACAAAAATCATTAACAGATCGTGCTCTGCACTGAAAACTCTCTCTGAAAGGAGTAAAAGAATAAAGTGAAGCAGCTTTTGGAATCAAAATACAATTTTTTCAAAATGTTTACCGTTCGAAACAATGAGGTGGTGTAAATGAACAATGAAATTTGACATCATGTCTTGCAATGTCTCGACGGAAATGGAATCAATCACATGCAACACCAATCAACGATTCAAGCTCATCTAGAGTAGCAGGATTTTTTCGATAGACA